AGAAAAATGGTCTCTCGTACAAGTGTTAATCAGTTCTTTGACCTGTGTCTCGGTCGAGCGTGAACACCTCACTAGCTATTTGAACTTCTCCTTTGACCTCTGTTGCCCCATGGCCCCTATGTATACCATATCCATACCGAAAACCTACTTGGTGATCGGAATTGCAAACAAATATGAAATGCAATGAAAAAACTCTGGAAGAAAAGTTGAACTACACGGGCCTCAACCCATAGCAGCTGAACTCTTATTTCCGATCAGAAGTTTCGCATGTCAATTCTTATCAGGTGCGGGCACAGCTGATGTGCTTCAAAAAATCAAAAGCTTCCGGTTCGGACTTACTATGCCTAGTTGTCCTCAATGAATGTGCTCATTTACCGGTATTTTCAACCGTTGCTTCAAGGAACAAAAAATTGTCAACTGTTGGAGACCTGTGCTTATAATACCAGTCCCAAAAAAGAAGCTGGGAAATTGCGAATAATTGCCTGCACTTCTGTTTTACTAAAAAAATTTGAAAAGTTTATGCTTAATAACAATATTCCTAACACCGAGCAGATAGACAACAATCGATTCGCTTATCGCAAACAACGTTCTACTCTAGACGCCCTTGCGCATTCGGTTAACTCAGTTTTGCGATCCCTAGACATCGGCGAACAGCATTTCCTGTGTGGTTCCTCGACCATAGTAACGCCTGTGTGTGGACAGGTGCAGGCTTTGTCTCTACTCCAAGGTGCTGGATTGCCCTATGCTACCCTCTCTCTGCTCCAAGATTATCCTATTATTCGAGACCTAACCACTGACCCAGGTGATCTTCTTATCAAGTATGCTGATGATCTTGTTATAGGTTCCGAATTCCTAGTTGATTTCCGCTTCTCACAGCTTCAAATCAGTTTATCTACCTTAAGCTTATGATCTTGGTGTTCCAAGTTATCTCTCAATGCTTCTAGATACAAGGCTGTCACCTCACTAGCCAAAGGAGAACCGCTACGTTCTTTTGAAAGGAATTGTTCTGTACTCTACGTTGACAAGCACCCTGTTCCCCCTGTACGTTCTCTGCAATTCCTCGTTGTTATTATCTGCCAAGTTCTCACCTTCACATTTCAACTCTACTTTCAAAAAGATTAGACGATTGTGTTTCTTTATTTCCCGCTTCCGATCTTTAAAAGTTCCACTGTATTTACTCACGCGATTTGTATATTCTTGTGTTATTCCTCATCTTCTTTATACTCCCTAGTTTCATTTTCCGGTCTTAGAGTCAGGGATTATACAATTCTACACTGGTCTATTAAAATTATTTCGCGCATGAGCGGTATTCCCTATTTGCACTTGCTTGATTTTATCGCCGACAAACATTTTACCTCTTGCGGAAGCTTCTGCAATAATATTCTATCAGACATCACTCACCCATTACACACAGAACTTAAACAATGCGCATCCACTTCTGTACCGAGGTATCGTTATAAACTTGTGTATGCTCGAAGTACTGCCTACCGTTTGTCCGTTATCCCATATCTTTCGAGATTTCCGGCATAAAAGGCATCCATTAGAGAAAACGTTTTTGAATTTCCTACTCAAAC